TGGTTAAGGCGTCTGACTTGAAATCAGATTCCCTCTGGGAGCGTAGGTTCGAATCCTGCCGACTGCGATTGGTTGAATTTTTATACAAACTATATTTTTAAGTGGTCTCTGCTTCGAAGTCAGATTTCCTCTGGCAACACGGGTTCGAATGTTATATCAATTAATATTTTTCCAGAGTTCTTTTACTAATACCACATAGTAATACTAAAGGTTTTCAGATTTGATTGTAGAGCAGTCGTGGCCGAGTGGTTAAGGCGTCTGACTAGAAATCAGATTCCCTCTGGGAGCGTAGGTTCGAATCCTGCCGACTGCGCTTGGTTGAATTTTTATACAAACTATATTTTTAAGTGGACTGCGACTGGTTGAATTTTTATACAAACTATATTTTTAAGTGGTCTCTGCTTCGAAGTCAGATTTCCTCTGGCAGCACGGGTTCGACTGTTATATCAATTAATATTTTTCCAGAGTTATTTTACTAATACCACATAGTAATACTAAAGCTTTTCAGATTTGGTTGTAGAGCAGTCGTGGCCGAGTGGTTAAGGCGTCTGACTAGAAATCAGATTCCCTCTGGGAGCGTAGGTTCAAATCCTACCGACTGCGGTTGGGTATATTCAAACTTATGTCGTAAACGAGTCATGATTGAGTGGTTGTGGTCTCTGATTTGAAGGTAGCTTTTCTCGTAGAAATTATATTTTTTTAGTTACTATTCTAAAGCAGTGCAGTAATACCAAAAGTTTTTAGAGACTTTTGCAGAGCAGTCGTGGCCGAGTGGTTAAGGCGTCTGACTAGAAATCAGATTCCCTCTGGGAGCGTAGGTTCGAATCCTACCGACTGCGGTTGGTTATATTTGAACAAACTATATTTTTAAGTGATTTTTCTAATGCAGTCATGGTTCTGTGGTTGTGGTCTCTGGCTCGAAGTCAGATTTTCTCTGGTAGCACGGGTTGTCAAATCAAATATTTTTTAGAGTTCTTTTCCTAATCCAGTATAGTAATATTAAAGGTTTTTAGAATTAATTGTGGAGCAGTCGTGGCCGAGTGGTTAAGGCGTATGACTCGAAATCAGATTCCCTCTGGGAGCGTAGGTTCCAATCCTGCCGACTGCGCTTGGTTGAATTTTTATACAAACTATATTTTTAAGTGGTCTCTGCTTCGAAGTCAGATTTCCTCTGGCAGCACGGGTTCGACTGTTATATCAATTAATATTTTTCCAGAGTTCTTTTACTAATACCACATAGTAATACTAAAGGTTTTCAGATTTGGTTGTAGAACAGTCGTGGCCGAGTGGTTAAGGCGTCTGACTAGAAATCAGATTCCCTCTGGGAGCGTAGGCTCGAATCCTACCGACTGCGGTTGGGTATATTCAAACTTATTTCGTAAACGAGTCATGATTGTGTGCTTGTGGTCCCTGACTCGAATTCAAATTCCGTGGGATCGCTGTTTCGAATGTTATATCAAATTATATTTTTTAGTTACTTTTCTAATGCGTACAGTAATACCAAAGGTTTTTAGAATTAATTGCAGAGCAGTCGTGGCCGAGTGGTTAAGGCGTCTGACTAGAATCAGATTCCTTCTGGGAGCGTAGGTTCGAATCCTACCGACTGCGGTTGGTTATATTTGAACAAATCACTATGTAAGTGATTTTTCTAATGCAGTAGAGCAATACTAACTGCATTCAAACTTATTTGGTAAAAGAGTCGTGATTGAGATATTGTGGTCTCTGATTCGAAGGTAGATTTTCTCGTAGAAATTATATTTTTTTAGTTACTTTTCTAAAGCAGTGCAGTAATACAAAATGGTTTTAGAGACTTTTGCAGAGCAGTCATGGCCGAGTGGTTAAGGCGTCTGACTTGAAATCAGATTCCCTCTGGGAGCGTAGGTTCGAATCCTACCGACTACGGTTGGTTATATTTGAACAAACTATATTTTTAAGTGATTTTTCTAATGCAGTCATGGTTCTGTGGTTGTGGTCTCTGGCTCGAAGTCAGATTTTCTCTGGTAGCACGGGTTGTCAAATCAAATATTTTTTAGAGTTCTTTTCCTAATCCAGTATAGTAATATTAAAGGTTTTTAGAATTAATTGTGGAGCAGTCGTGGCCGAGTGGTTAAGGGGTCTGACTAGAAATCAGATTCCCTCTGGGAACGTAGGTTCGAATCCTACCGACTGCGGTTGGTTATATTTGAACAAATTACTATGTAAGTGATTTTTCTAATGCGGTAGAGCAATACTAACTGCATTCAAACTTATTTGGTAAAAGAGTCGTGATTGAGATGTTGTGGTCTCTGATTCGAAGATAGATTTTCTCGTAGAAATTATATTTTTTTAGTTACTTTTCTAAAGCAGTGCAGTAATACAAAATGGTTTTAAAGACTTTTGCAGAGCAGTCGTGGCCGAGTGGTTAAGGCGTCTGACTAGAAATCAGATTCCCTCTGGGAGCGTAGGTTCGAATCCTACCGACTGCGGTTGGTTATATTTGAACAAACTATATTTTTAAGTGATTTTTCTAATGCAGTCATGGTTCTGTGGTTGTGGTCTCTGGCTCGAAGTCAGATTTTCTCTGGTAGCACGGGTTGTCAAATCTAGTCCAGTATAGTAATATTAAATCTAATCCAGTATAGTAATATTAAAGGTTTTTAGAATTAATTGTGGAGCAGTCGTGGCCGAGTGGTTAAGGCGTCTGACTCGAAATCAGATTCCCTCTGGGAGCGTAGGTTCGAATCCTGCCGACTGCGCTTGGTTGAATTTTTATACAAACTATATTTTTAAGTGGACTGCGATTGGTTGAATTTTTATACAAACTATATTTTTAAGTGGTCTCTGCTTCGAAGTCAGATTTCCTCTGGCAGCACGGGTTCGACTGTTATATCAATTAATATATTTCCAGAGTTATTTTACTAATACCACATAGTAATACTAAAGCTTTTCAGATTTGGTTGTAGAGCAGTCGTGGCCGAGTGGTTAAGGCGTCTGACTAGAAATCAGATTCCCTCTGGGAGCGTAGGTTCAAATCCTACAGACTGCGGTTGGGTATATTCAAACTTATGTCGTAAACGAGTCATGATTGAGTGGTTGTGGTCTCTGATTTGAAGGTAGCTTTTCTCGTAGAAATTATATTTTTTAGTTACTATTTTAAAGCAGTGCAGTAATACCAAAAGTTTTTAGAGACTTTTGCAGAGCAGTCGTGGCCGAGTGGTTAAGGCGTCTGACTTGAAATCAGATTCCTTCTGGGAGCGTAGGTTCGAATCCTGCCGACTGCGCTTCGTAAAATTTTTATACAAACTATATTTTTAAGTGGTCTCTGCTTCGAAGTCAGATTTCCTCTGGCAGCACGGGTTCGAATGTTATATCAATTAATATTTTTCCAGAGTTCTTTTACTAATACCACATAGTAATACTAAAGGTTTTTAGATTTGGTTGTAGAGCAGTCGTGGCCGAGTGGTTAAGGCGTCTGACTAGAAATCAGATTCCCTCTGGGAGCGTAGGTTCAAATCCTACCGACTGCGCTTGGTTGAATTTTTATACAAACTATATTTTTAAGTGGACTGCGATTGGTTGAATTTTTATACAAACTATATTTTTAAGTGGTCTCTGCTTCGAAGTCAGATTTCCTCTGGCAGCACGGGTTTGAATGTTATATCAATTAATATTTTTCCAGAGTTCTTTTACTAATACCACATAGTAATACTAAAGGTTTTCAGATTTGATTGTAGAGCAGTCGTGGCCGAGTGGTTAAGGCGTCTGACTAGAAATCAGATTCCCTCTGGGAGCGTAGGTTCGAATCCTGACGACTGCGCTTGGTTGAATTTTTATACAAACTATATTTTTAAGTGGACTGCGATTGGTTGAATTTTTATACAAACTATATTTTTAAGAGGTCTCTGCTTCGAAGTCAGATTTCCTCTGGCAGCACGGGTTCGACTGTTATATCAATTAATATTTTTCCAGAGTTATTTTACTAATACCACATAGTAATACTAAAGCTTTTCAGATTTGGTTGTAGAGCAGTCGTGGCCGAGTGGTTAAGGCGTCTGACTAGAAATCAGATTCCCTCTGGGAGCGTAGGTTCAAATCCTACCGACTGCGGTTGGGTATATTCAAACTTATGTCGTAAACGAGTCATGATTGAGTGGTTGTGGTCTCTGATTTGAACGTAGCTTTTCTCGTAGAAATTATATTTTTTAGTTACTATTCTAAAGCAGTGCAGTAATACCAAAAGTTTTTAGAGACTTTTGCAGAGCAGTCGTGGCCGAGTGGTTAAGGCGTCTGACTTGAAATCAGATTCCCTCTGGGAGCGTAGGTTCGAATCCTGCCGACTGCGCTTGGTAAAATTTTTATACAAACTATATTTTTAAGTGGTCTCTGCTTCGAAGTCAGATTTCCTCTGGCAGCACGGGTTCGAATGTTATATCAATTAATATTTTTCCAGATTTCTTTTACTAATACCACATAGTAATACTAAAGGTTTTCAGATTTGATTGTAGAGCAGTCGTGGCCGAGTGGTTAAGGCGTCTGACTAGAAATCAGATTCCCTCTGGGAGCGTAGGTTCGAATCCTACCGACTGCGTTGGTTATATTTGAACAAACTATATTTTTAAGTGATTTTTCTAATGCAGTCATGGTTCTGTGGTTGTGGTCTCTGGCTCGAAGTCAGATTTTCTCTGGTAGCACGGGTTGTCAAATCAAATTTTTTTAGAGTTTCTTTTCCTAATCCAGTATAGTAATATTAAAGGTTTTTAGAGTTAATTGTGGAGCAGTCCGGGCCGAGTGGTTAAGGCGTATGACTCGAAATCAGATTCCCTCTGGGAGCGTAGGTTCCAATCTTGCCGACTGCGCTTGGTTTAATTTTTATACAAACTATATTTTTAAGTGGTCTCTGCTTCGAAGTCAGATTTTCCTCTGGCAGCACGGGTTCGACTGTTATATCAATTAATATTTTTCCAGAGTTCTTTTACTAATACCACATAGTAATACTAAGGTTTTTCAGATTTGGTTGTAGAACAGTTGTGGCCGAGTGGTTAAGGCGTCTGACTAGAAATCAGATTCCTCTGGGAGCGTAGGCTCGAATCCTACCGACTGCGGTTGGGTATATTCAAACTTATTTCGTAAACGAGTCATGATTGTGTGTTTGTGGTCCCTGACTCGAATTCAAATTCCGTGGGATCGCTGTTTCGAATGTTTATATCAAATTATATTTTTTTAGTTACTTTTCTAATGCGTACAGTAATACCACAGGTTTTAGAATTAATTGCAGAGCAGTCGTGGCCGAGTGTTAAGGCGTCTGACTAGAATCAGATTCCCTCTGGGAGCGTAGTTCGAATCCTACCGACTGCGGTTGGTTATATTTGAACAAATTACTATGTAAGGATTTTTTCTAATGCAGTAGAGCAATACTAACTGCATTCAAACTTATTTGGTAAAAGAGTCGTGATTGAGGTATTTGTGGTCTCTGATTCGAAGTAGATTTTCTCGTAGAATTATATTTTTTTAGTTACTTTTCTAAAGCAGTGCAGTAATACAAAATGGTTTTAGAGACTTTTGCAGAGCAGTCGTGGCCGAGTGGTTAAGGCGTCTGACTTGAAATCAGATTCCCTCTGGGAGCGTAGGTTCGAATCCTGCCGACTGCGATTGGTTAAATTTTTATACAAACTATATTTTTAAGTGGTCTCTGCTTCGAAGTCAGATTTCCTCTGGCAGCACGGGTTTGACTGTTATATCAATTAATATTTTTCCAGAGTTATTTTACTAATATCACATAGTAATACTAAAGGTTTTCAGATTTGATTGTAGAGCAGTCGTGGCCGAGTGGTTAAGGCGTCTGACTAGAAATCAGATTCCCTCTGGGAGCGTAGGCTCAAATCCTACCGACTGCGGTTGGGTATATTCAAACTTATGTCGTAAACGAGTCATGATTGAGTGGTTGTGGTCTCTGATTCGAAGGTAAATTTTCTCGTAGAAATTATATTTTTTAGTTACTATTCTAAAGCAGTGCAGTAATACCAAAAGTTTTTAGAGACTTTTGCAGAGCAGTCGTGGCCGAGTGGTTAAGGCGTCTGACTTGAAATCAGATTCCCTCTGGGAGCGTAGGTTCGAATCCTGCCGACTGCGCTTGGTAAAATTTTTATACAAACTATATTTTTAAGTGGTCTCTGCTTCGAAGTCAGATTTCCTCTGGCAGCACGGGTTCGAATGTTATATCAATTAATATTTTTCCAGAGTTCTTTTACTAATACCACATAGTAATACTAAAGGTTTTCAGATTTGATTGTAGAGCAGTCGTGGCCGAGTGGTTAAGGCGTCTGACTAGAAATCAGATTCCCTCTGGGAGCGTAGGTTCGAATCCTACCGACTGCGCTTGGTTGAATTTTTATACAAACTATATTTTTAAGTGGACTGCGATTGGTTGAATTTTTATACAAACTATATTTTTAAGTGGTCTCTGCTTCGAAGTCAGATTTCTTCTGGCAGCACGGGTTCGACTGTTATATCAATTAATATTTTTCCAGAGTTATTTTACTAATACCACATAGTAATACTAAAGCTTTTCAGATTTGGTTGTAGAGCAGTCGTGGCCAAGTGGTTAAGGCGTCTGACTAGAAATCAGATTCCCTCTGGGAGCGTAGGTTCAAATCCTACCGACTGCGGTTGGGTATATTCAAACTTATGTCGTAAACGAGTCATGATTGAGTGGTTGTGGTCTCTGATTTGAAGGTAGCTTTTCTCGTAGAAATTATATTTTTTTAGTTACTATTCTAAAGCAGTGCAGTAATACCAAAAGTTTTTAGAGACTTTTGCAGAGCAGTCGTGGCCGAGTGGTTAAGGCGTCTGACTTGAAATCAATTCCCTCTGGGAGCGTAGGTTCGAATCCTGCCGACTGCGCTTGGTAAAATTTTTATACAAACTATATTTTTAAGTGGTCTCTGCTTCGAAGTCAGATTTCCTCTGGCAGCACGGGTTCGAATGTTATATCAATTAATATTTTTCCAGAGTTCTTTTACTAATACCACATAGTAATACTAAAGGTTTTTAGATTTGGTTGTAGAGCAGTCGTGGCCGAGTGGTTAAGGCGTCTGACTAGAAATCAGATTCCCTCTGGGAGCGTAGGTTCAAATCCTACCGACTGCGGTTGGGTATATTCAAACTTATGTCGTAAACGAGTCATGATTGAGTGGTTCTAAATTAAACTATTCTAAAGCAGTGCAGTAATACCAAAAGTTTTTAGAGACTTTTGCAGAGCAGTCGTGGCCGAGTGGTTAAGGCGTCTGACTTGAAATCAGATTCCCTCTGGGAGCGTAGGTTCGAATCCTGCCGACTGCGCTTGGTAAAATTTTTATACAAACTATATTTTTAAGTGGTCTCTGCTTCGAAGTCAGATTTCCTCTGGCAGCACGGGTTCGAATGTTATATCAATTAATATTTTTCCAGAGTTCTTTTACTAATACCACATAGTAATACTAAAGGTTTTTAGATTTGGTTGTAGAGCAGTCGTGGCCGAGTGGTTAAGGCGTCTGACTTGAAATCAGATTCCCTCTGGGAGCGTAGGTTCGAATCCTGCCGACTGCGCTTGGTAAAATTTTTATACAAACTATATTTTTAAGTGGTCTCTGCTTCGAAGTCAGATTTCCTCTGGCAGCACGGGTTTGAATGTTATATCAATTAATATTTTTCCAGAGTTCTTTTACTAATACCACATAGTAATACTAAAGGTTTTCAGATTTGATTGTAGAGCAGTTGTGGCCGAGTGGTTAAGGCGTCTGACTAGAAATCAGATTCCCTCTGGGAGCGTAGGTTCGAATCCTACCGACTGCGGTTGGTTATATTTGAACAAACTATATTTTTAAGTGATTTTTCTAATGCAGTCATGGTTCTGTGGTTGTGGTCTCTGGCTCGAAGTCAGATTTTCTCTGGTAGCACGGGTTGTCAAATCAAATATTTTTTAGAGTTCTTTTCCTAATCCAGCATAGTAATATTAAAGATTTTTAGAATTAATTGTGGAGCAGTCGTGGCCGAGTGGTTAAGGCGTCTGACTCGAAATCAGATTCTCTCTGGGAGCGTAGGTTCGAATCCTGCCGACTGCGCTTGGTAAAATTTTTATACAAACTATATTTTTAAGTGGTCTCTGCTTAGAAGTCAGATTTCCTCTGGCAGCACGGGTTCGAATGTTATATCAATTAATATTTTTCCAGAGTTCTTTTACTAATACCACATAGTAATACTAAAGGTTTTCAGATTTGATTGTAGAGCAGTCGTGGCCGAGTGGTTAAGGCGTCTGACTAGAAATCAGATTCCCTCTGGGAGCGTAGGTTCGAATCCTACCGACTGCGCTTGGTTGAATTTTTATACAAACTATATTTTTAAGTGGACTGCGATTGGTTGAATTTTTATACAAACTATATTTTTAAGTGGTCTCTACTTCGAAGTCAGATTTCCTCTGGCAGCACGGGTTCGACTGTTATATCAATTAATATTTTTCCAGAGTTATTTTACTAATACCACATAGTAATACTAAAGCTTTTCAGGTTTGGTTGTAGAGCAGTCGTGGCCGAGTGGTTAAGGCGTCTGACTAGAAATCAGATTCCCTCTGGGAGCGTAGGTTCAAATCCTACCGACTGCGGTTGGGTATATTCAAACTTATGTCGTAAACGAGTCATGATTGAGTGGTTGTGGTCTCTGATTTGAAGGTAGCTTTTCTCGTAGAAATTATATTTTTTTAGTTACTATTCTAAAGCAGTGCAGTAATACCAAAAGTTTTTATACACTTTTGCAGAGCAGTCGTGGCCGAGTGGTTAAGGCGTCTGACTTGAAATCAGATTCCCTCTGGGAGCGTAGGTTCGAATCCTGCCGACTGCGCTTGGTAAAATTTTTATACAAACTATATTTTTAAGTGGTCTCTGCTTCGAAGTCAGATTTCCTCTGGCAGCACGGGTTCGAATGTTATATTAATTAATATTTTTCCAGAGTTCTTTTACTAATACCACATAGTAATACTAAAGGTTTTCAGATTTGATTGTAGAGCAGTCGTGGCCGAGTGGTTAAGGCGTCTGACTAGAAATCAGATTCCCTCTGGGAGCGTAGGTTCGAATCCTACCGACTGCGGTTGGTTATATTTGAACAAACTATATTTTTAAGTGATTTTTCTAATGCAGTCATGGTTCTGTGGTTGTGGTCTCTAGCTCGAAGTCAGATTTTCTCTGGTAGCACGGGTTGTCAAATCTAGTCCAGTATAGTAATATTAAATCTAATCCAGTATAGTAATATTAAAGGTTTTTAGAATTAATTGTGGAGCAGTCGTGGCCGAGTGGTTAAGGCGTCTGACTCGAAATCAGATTCCCTCTGGGAGCGTAGGTTCGAATCCTGCCGACTGCGCTTGGTTGAATTTTTATACAAACTATATTTTTAAGTGGACTGCGATTGGTTGAATTTTTATACAAACTATATTTTTAAGTGGTCTCTGCTTCGAAGTCAGATTTCCTCTGGCAGCACGGGTTCGACTGTTATATCAATTAATATATTTCCAGAGTTATTTTACTAATACCACATAGTAATACTAAAGCTTTTCAGATTTGGTTGTAGAGCAGTCGTGGCCGAGTGGTTAAGGCGTCTGACTAGAAATCAGATTCCCTCTGGGAGCGTAGGTTCAAATCCTACAGACTGCGGTTGGGTATTCAAACTTATGTCGTAAACGAGTCATGATTGAGTGGTTGTGGTCTCTGATTTGAAGGTAGCTTTTCTCGTAGAAATTATATTTTTTTAGTTACTATTTTAAAGCAGTGCAGTAATACCAAAAGTTTTTAGAGACTTTTGCAGAGCAGTCGTGGCCGAGTGGTTAAGGCGTCTGACTTGAAATCAGATTCCCTCTGGGAGCGTAGGTTCGAATCCTGCCGACTGCGCTTCGTAAAATTTTTATACAAACTATATTTTTAAGTGGTCTCTGCTTCGAAGTCAGATTTCCTCTGGCAGCACGGGTTCGAATGTTATATCAATTAATATTTTTCCAGAGTTCTTTTACTAATACCACATAGTAATACTTAAGGTTTTTGGATTTGGTTGTAGAGCAGTCGTGGCCGAGTGGTTAAGGCGT